TCAATAATTCGCTTGTGCGTAGGGGTCTTTATCAGTGGGAGGAAACCGGAGGACCCGGAGAAAACCCACGAGGTTGGAAAGTCACTTATACATTTGAACAACCATTAATTGGGTAAAACGTAACCCGGTATGTAAACACAGACTCCATTTTCGAACGTTTCAGTATTTTGGTGTGTGATCTATTTCTTCACAATTTGGGATTTGATTTGCATACTTAATCCACTTATAGGGGATCACGTGGCTAAGTGGGTAAGACGGTGGCTCGCTAGCCTGGAGGTCGGGTGTTCGATCCCTGCATTGGCCGAGAAAGTTCATCCAGATTTTCCGGCGTGGTTCCCCCTTGTCAGTGATACAGGACGGAGGGCCTGACAAGGACAGCTGTCTAGCCCTTCGGATGAGACGAAAAACCGAGGTCCCGTGTATACATTGGAATGCACGTAAAAGATCCCTTGGCAGTTGGAATTCGATATAAGAGTAGGCGATAGTGCCGCTGCCCGGGCAAAATTTCCCTCATAGCACACTGTATGGCGTATGCCCGTCTTCATTAGCCCAGCATAGGAGCAGAACAGTAGGACGTTAAACTCCATTTCATTTCATTTAATCCACTTATATCAAAGTGCTACCTAGGACCGCGCCTTTAATAACAACGAAACCTAATTTTAAAGTAAGGGTAATTTATGTTAGTCAATGGCACGGTGTATGGGGCCAATATTTTACACACAATCCAACATGGAGATTCCCCATTTCTGTCTAAACCTAAAATAGTGTGTACACGTCTACCAGCTCTAGACCAAATTACTGGTAGGGAAGAATTTAGCCTTAAACTTGGAAGAAATCGTTTTGCAAGCTTATAAAGATTTTCTTGTGTAGTTTTTATCTTTAGTGAAAGTATAATTAGAATCAGTCCTCTTTAAGGTAGAACAAGTCAGATATGTATTTTCAAAGTGAGAAAACCCCCACAGGTACTATATTAAAGTAAAGGCACAAAAGGTACCAGGTACAAAGAGATACCACAATTCGCATTACTATAATATTTCTTATTGAGGGTTAAAGCGGAAATTGCAAATTTTCTAAGAAAGTCAAAACGTAATTATTTCTATGTCTTTTGCTCAATAGGTTGTCAACTCACAATTATACGATCACAGGTGTCATTCTCACACTTAAAACGCATTTACACAGGAAATAATAACACAATTACCTCCCAATTACCTCCATTGTTTTCTATTCTCCACCATGGAGTAGCTTTTTTTCAAACGTTTAAAAATGAAGAGAAAAATGATATTTTTGCCAATTTCTCAGTTGGCAATAGTGAATTATAGGATTAATAGGATTATTCTTTAACAAGGTAGGACTGTTTATGGATACTATCTATTTTCAGGCTTTATTTTAATAAATTTTAAAAATATAACTTAAAAATGTGCAATTTCCGCTTTAAAGAATAAAGATATCCCCGTGATGTCAATGACCTATGTTAGAACTGACCGATTTAAAACTCTATAAATGTAACCTTTATTCTGGCACGTTGGGGCTTTAAAATAAACCATAATACGCGAGTAAACAATGGGGAAAATATCAAATATCTACACATTGGCTTACCTAATTATTCCTCCTTCAATTGGTTCTCAACTATATAATTTCAATTTAACCTTCGAACGTAGTGGTCAGATATCATCGATTCATATAACCGCGAGTTACAAATGCGCATAATGTATTATCTATTTGATAACGAATTGACCTTGATAAGAAAAACATCGACTGATTCTTAACAATATGAACAGCAAAGACATTTCATTTTAATATGGAATAATCATGATTTAGTGAATACGGGCAAACGCCATGCCGTGAACTATGTGAGAGATTTTTCCCAGACAGTGGAGTTTAATTCTGCTTATACATGTACTCTAGAATTCCAAAACCAACTTGTCAGACCCCCTGTCCTTGCACAACTGACCACAGGTACATGAGGACAGGAGGGCCTTTACCTATGTCACATGTGATTTTTTCTTCATATTTTTACATCGTTTTTTTTCTTCATATTTTTAAAAATTTTTAAATCTTCTTTACTTTTATTCCTATTTGTTGCTAAATCATATAATATTTACTATCAAACATGATCGTATTTAACAAAAATACCTTCTGATGTAGGCCTATATAATAAAAGATTATATAGGCCTACATCAGAAGGTATTCTTTTTAATACGATCATGTTTGATAGTAAATATTTTCAAATATCCCGCATGGTCTCTATCGGCATGTTGGCGTATACACATACACATTGATCTTTTTAAACAGAGAAATTCAACACCTCGTTTGACGTCAATTTTTATTATGAATTAATACAATGACATTGTGATTCAATTTCATGGATGCAAAGCATTAATTGTGATATCACATAATGTCTATATCATTATCTCGTGCTTTGAGTGCCCATCCTGTCCCACATCTGACGATAAAGGATAAAGCACACGGCCGAGAAACTTTTCTCATAAAAAGTGTTGATTTACAAAAAAAATTATGTAGCTGAGCAGGTACCCCCCCCCCCCTCTTGATCCGCCCGATTAGTTGTTCGGCGGTATACGATGTTGTTCAAATACTCCTATTACAGAATCACATTAAACCAGAAACGGCTCGACTTGAGCCAACCAGCAGGTAAGAATCTGTTTTTAAATTATACCTAGGTAAGGCGGATTGATTTGGCGGGGGAAGACCCGATTGGCGGCCATCTTGATTCTTGTTTCATGTTTTTTTTATAAACATTTGGGCAAGAGTATAAACCCGGACACGGACTAGAAAATAACTTATTACACTTTTGTGTTAGTTGAAATGTTATCTAATTTATATTTAAAAAAAAAACCCCAAAAAACTCTTTATCAAATAAGCAGATATGCCCCCCCCCCCACACCCCGTTCAACCTCTGTGTAATATTATTTCACTGATTCAGTCACAGTTAATAAATGATAGAACTAGAATCGAGTCTGTGGAAGTTTCATTATTTTTTCCAGTCAGCGATGCTATATGTGATTCTTTCCACCTTCCAGTTTTAAGCAATTATTGAGAATTTGCCAAAGACTCCATTGTCGAAAAACTGGTAACGATTTCATTTTCTTTTTTTTTATTACCTGCAATGTCCTACAAATATTTAGAAGATAAAGTATTTATATGGCACTTATATACATGTATGCAACAGAGAGAGAGGGAAATGAAATAAACAAGGTCTTACCATACTCCTCGCAGTGATTCGTTTGATTAGAGCTAATCCCACTACGCACTGCTGTAAACAAAGCAAATTCTTGTTCTAAATTATGACTGGTCAATAGTCCGATTAACAACCAATAGCTTACTGCGTAACAATACCAAACAGAGCTCCAAATTGGACCAAATATGTTTACATAACGTTGTATACGTCATGACTCACGATTTTATTATGCCCAATTAACCAGTGCATAGCAGAATATTGCAGAAAAACTAATTGTGTGACAAATAAGGCTATCAACTGTCAACACGATATTTACTCTGTGGATATAATATGAACAATAGACTTATTGTTTTGAGACGAACAACACTTTCGCCGTTTTTAATACCTTAAATCACTGTCCAAAGTTTTAGGGAAGACCCCAGATTAAACGAAGGGCTGTCACGTTGCTGTGCTTTTGTATAGATTTGATTGAACGCGAAGAATAGACACACTCTTTCAAAAGCGCAAGTGAGCCCTTAGAATATTCTATAGAATACTACACTGGTATTCTGCATAGGCGTTGAAGCTCAAAGTAATTCAGGGGGGCATAAGAGAAAATTGCCCGAAATCAATATAATATAATCAATATAGTATATATATCGAAATCAATATGATCAATATATAGTATATTGTATTGATTATATATAATCAATATAATATAATATAAATCAATATAATTCTAAAACTAGGTATTAGATTAATTAAACAATATTTTGATATTCAGAGATAATCGTCTCACAAGATTGATCGTACAAATGAGGACTGGGGAACAAAAGTAAAACATATTAGAAATATTCAGAGGCACGTCCATACGGCGTCCAGCAGAATGTTCACAATTTCGTACAGTTTCTCAAGTAGTCCAATAGTCTTTTTAGAAAAAGTGAGAGGCACGGCCATGACGTCCAGCAAAAATGTCCACAATTTCGTCCAGTTTCTCAAATAGTCAGGCAAGGTCACTATATCAGCTGATATAGTGTTTTGGTCACTGCCGCACCACCGAAAACGGGCGAATCCACCCTGGCAACCGGCTGTTTCCTAGCAGTTTTCCATTTGGCTCGTTTCCTCTGTCGTTTTTCGGGCAATACCTATTTTCAGGCAATACCGTTTTTTCGGGCATACCTATCATAAGAGAGCTTCGGGCATATTTTCGGGCTTGCAGTGGACAAGAAAAAGACGAGAAAATACTTTTCGGGCAGTGTGGATCTCATAGAAATAAGTTAGTTATATTTTTTCTCTAAACGTAAATAGAAAAAAAAGGTCGTCGAATTTTTCATTGCCCGAAAATAATTTTTTTTTTGGGGGGGGGGGGGACGGGGGTCCTGCCCCCCGGCTCCTACGCCTATGGTATTCTGTAGGACTTTTTGATAAGAGACATAGCCAAGTAAATGTAAAATAGAACCCTTGAATACCGAGTTACGGTAAGACACTTGGTTAAGTGGAAAAATAAAAACCTTTGAATATGGACCCAGAATACTGATAAGGCCAATTGCCCCTATAAGTACCACTAGATTGCAAATATGTTTTCGCTCCTACAAAGCCGGTCTAAATGAAATTTTATCAGTGTTTAGTTAATAAAGTGATATTCGTTTGCCATGTTGTTCAACACAAAATTTAATAGTATTAGTTCAGCGATGATATTCTTCTTGGAAATCCGGATTATTTATTAATAGTAAAATTCATTGTGCGCAAGGTCACTGGACAGAGTTCAAAGTCGTTCGCCGCGTCACGTGATAATTTTTTCCACAATCGACCAATCATGTCATTCGCTTAATTGTGTTGTTGATAAACACCAAATGGCGAGCTCCTTGAACCGCATGAACGAACGAAGCTCCACGCTAAACGAAATGGCGACAAAAGCTCAATTAACTTGTATTCTTCACTTAGATAGTGTTAAGAACGAAGGCGCAGAACCCTTTACAAAGACAAGATGGGACAAATGTCGTGACGTAGCTGAAGAATGGTTACAGTTGGATGGAAATGACCAGTGCATCGCAGCATTTTTTGATACAAATGGATTGATTACAAAAGATGTTGAAGATACAGTCGGTAGTGGTTTCGGATTTCACCCAACGTGCTATAGACGTTTTACGGACAAAACAAGGCTCTTAAAAGCAATTAAAAGATGCGAGAAAAAAGCAAAACTAGAGAGTAAGAAGAAGGCAGCATCTACAGTCTGTCAAACCGAAACTACAACTGCTATTAGTATTACTACGCCCCCTACTACGCCTCCTTCATCAACTTTAATTTTAAAAACTAAAAGTGTGTCTCGTTCACCACCTACACCTTCAATGATCCCACCAAAGAAATTAAAATCACATCATCGCGCAGTACTTGTTACTACTAGTACTTCATCAGAGTTAGGGAAGTCAGTTTTACCAGATATCTGTATAATTTGCAAGAAAAAATCCAAGTATGTTCGAGTTGGGGCCACACAAAAGAGGGACAATCTAGTCCAGTGCGAATCAAAAACAGCAGGTTAGATATTATGTACGGTATTATTTTATTTGAAGCACCAATAACACTTAGACTGCTGTTTTGATTGATAAATCTGGTGAAAAAACTAGCCTTATTTTAACTACTAAATGTGTTGTAACTTTAGACTTATAATATAAATGCAATCTGAGCCAGTATTTGTCAAGGGAGGTAATAAGTGTCGGATTTGATTGCCTACATGTACAGTAGATAACAAACCTTATCTCTCAACCCTCTGTGTTTCGAGATAAGAAATGGTGCTATTAACTTCAACGTAGCACATGCTGTAGCGATTCGCACCCGGCATTTGTAAACAAAATTGACATTATTTTTAATCAAAACAACGATTGATTATTGTTATTCATAATATTTCTGCCACACTCAACTGCAATTAAGCATATAATCCTACCTGAAATGGGTACAAATCCCCTCTTTTTAAATCAAAGCGCCAGTAGATTGCTTTTTCCGACATTTTAAATTTACGTCTGTAACACATAAGGGGGGTCTGGTGTGCAATAGCCAATCAAAGTACTAATCTGATCAGAGTTGCGCAGTACTAATATTATTAAGGTCCGAATCAATTTTGATAAAAACAACGCTTGATTTACTTTATTGTCAATATTTGCTGATAAATGAATGTTGTTTCAGTAAATTAGGCTGTGTATGTGTAATAAGTACTAATAGTATAAAATTAGCTTATTTTTAAGATGGTACATGCATTAATAAAGAAATTGAGTTTGCCACTTGGAGCTTAAAGTTAAAGGCATCCAATCATAGCTAAAAACAAGCACCTCAGAATATCTCGGCGTTTTTAGTTACGTTCTCATAGTTACATGTACAGTACCGTACCTGTTATAATTGTTTCAAGAAATCGGAATAATCAGAACGATTCTTGGTGCTATTATCAGCTTTTAATGACATCAAGTGTTATTTGAATTCATATATCTTTTGTAAGCTTATATATTTTACAGGTTCATTGCTTCAAGCAGCCGAACAGAAGAAAGATGATAGTATTCTGAATCACATTAGAGACAGCGACTGTATAGCTATTAATGTAAAATATCATCGTGTTTGCTATAAAAATTATTGTAGATTTCTATTTGATAAATCTCCACATGTCAGGTAGGCTTTATAGTTTTTTTTTCTACATGTATCTTTTTGTCTCCTCTCCATTTTTGGAAGAAATGAAATGGGGTTTAACATCCTACTGTTCTGCTCCGACTGGGCTAATGAAGGTGGCCGATGTGCTATGAGGGAAATTTTGCCCGGGCATCGGCACTATGGCCTTCTCTTATATAAAATTCCGATGTATAAACGGGGCCTCGTTTTTTTTGTTCTATCGAACGACCAGACAGCTGTCCTTGTCAGACACTTCGTCCTGCACCACTGATATGGGAAAACCACGTTGGACAATCCCAATGAACCGTCTTGGCCAACAGTGGGATCGAACCAGTGACCTCCAGACTAGCAAGCCAGTGTCTTACACACTTAGGCACTGTTTTTAGAAAGAACCTTTTCTTACTCACTACATAGGTAGACACAAAGGAAGTGAAGAACGTAAAGAGCATAATGCTTGACCAATTACAGTGTTTCTAATAATTATGATGTGTACTTATTTGTGGTTAATATAACTCAAATGTCAATATTTTATATTTCAGTGCTGTTAATGAACATGATCAACTCTATTCTGATGTCTATTTTATATTTCAGTACTGTTAATGAACATGATCAACTCTATTCTGATGTCTATTTTATATTTCAGTACTGTTAATGAACATGATCAACTCTATTCTGATGTCTATGCTATGTTTTGTGAAGATGTGTTACAAAAGAAACTGATAGATAATCAAGATATATTACCGATGACCAAGTTAACAGAGATGTTTAACAATATGGTTAAAGATAAAATTGGTGAAAATGCAAAGTTTATCAGGTATTTATTTCATTCCTCTTTTTGTATTTGACCCCTCCATTGGCCGAGAAAGTTCAACAGGATTTTCGACGTGATTTCCAATTGTCATTGGTGCAAGACAGAAAGTCTGACAAGGACAGCTGTCTAGTTGTTTGGATGGGACAAAAAACGAGGTCCCAGGTACACATTGGCGTGCATGTAAATGATCCCTTGGTTTGCAGTTGGAATTCGATATAAGAGTAGGCCTGGGCAAAATTGCCCTCATACCACACTGTATGGTGTATGCTCGTCTTCATTAGCTGAGTAGGATGTTAAACCCCATTTCATTTCTTTCCTCTTTTATTTTATTGCTGAAGTAGATGTATAAAGACTGGGCATGCTCAAGATGTGTTCAGTGTCATAGCGAGGGATGGAGGGGGGGGGGTACTCCATGGTGACAGCCCCTCTTAGACCCAGTCTCCAAAAATTAAAACCTTATGAGTATATTACATATTATGCATCGCTATCTGAAATTTTCTTGTACAATAGGCACTTGTTTAATGCTTAAAATACTACATGTATGGTCTTTGTTTCATAAAAGAATATGTGTTAAGTGACATCATAATTTACAAATCTTTTCAGGGCTGATCGATTAAAATATAAAATAAAGAAAGACTTTCCTCAACTAACATTCTGTTCTCAACATAGAAAAAATTTGAGTGAATTAGTGTACATAGATGCCTTGCCAGTAGAGAGTTTCATGGACACCCTTCGATTTTCAACAACTGAAGAGAGAACTGGTACTAATGAGAGTGATGTTGACCTTGATGTTAATCTGGAAAAGACACTATTTGATGCTTCTCTCATTATTAAATTTTTATTAGCATGTCCATGGCCACCAACATCTTCAGATCTTAATTTGTCATTAGCAGATAAACCAGGAGTAGCATGTCCACCACCTGCAGACCTTAATATGTCATTAGCAGATAAACTAGGAGTAGCATGTCCATGGCCACCAACATCTTCAGATCTTAATATGTCATTAGCAGATAAAACAGGAGTAGCATGTCCATGGCCACCAACATCTTCAGACCTTAATACATGTATGTCATTAGCAGATAAACCAGGAGTAGCATGTCCATGGCCACAAACATCTTCAGACCTTAATACATGTATGTCATTAGCAGATAAACCAGGAGTAGCATCTTCATGGCCACCAACATCTTCAGACCGTAATATGAAAAGTGCACGGGATATTGTACCTTTGGAACTATTTAATTTTATTTCATGGGTCACAGGATCATCAGAGGAGCCCACCTTAAGTGAAATGGTGGATGTTTCAGACTATATTAACCCCAAAATACGATCTATATGTCGAGATATAGTCTATTTAGCATCAGGTGGCAGAAAATAAAACTCTTAAAGCACTCAGTCTTGGCTTAACAACATGGTCCCTGTTTCTCGAAATCTTAACTAAAGATAAAATTCAAATTTTAGTAGATACTTCAATTTTGATTGGCTAAGCACTAAAATCAATCTAATATTATCCAATCAAATTACTAAAATTTGGATTTTTATCTTGGTTAAAAATTTCGTGAAACAGATCCCAGACATCTTACCGGTGCATCACAGTTACTGACAATATTACACAAACTTGGCCATTATTCATCAACTCCTACAATTATTGGCTTTATCAGATAATATGTAATATCCGGACTGAGGGGATTTTGTCTGTTTTTAGAAGCCATGTTTTCACGTAACTTGATTGGGGGGGGGGGGAATTTCTCAGAATGTATTTTTCAATACTTACATGTACTGTCCATTTACTATATATATTGAGGCCTAAGTAAATTTTTGAATTATTTTCTGTCAACTTCTTTTTCCGCCACTTAATTGCGGAGTCCTTTGTACGTTTACACCCCTCAATGTTCCCCAAACCACCTAACCATTTGATCAAGAAATAACAATCGCTCCCACTCCCACAGTCAAGCTATCATAAAGTAAGCCGTCACACAACAGTTGGGTTGCCTGTGAGTGATACCCTGACATTTTTTCCCAGTGCTTGCCCCATGGGTGTTTTTTTCGAGTATTCTAGTATTTTACTAGTAAGATTGGGCGTCTATACTTTCCATATATACCAAATTTGCCATACTTTTATTGGAAATAACCACCCAATAAATATTTTCATGGCAATGTATCTTTACATGTAACTTAAGTAATCTTCAAAATGTAAATTAAGCGGGTCATAAATTATTTTGCATAAAAACTGCATCCAAACAAAATATGTCACCAACAAGTGATGAATTGGATTAGCATTTATTGCGTGCCAAGTATAAGGCTTGCATCCACAAAAGATCTTTGTCAGTGGATGCAAAAGCATCGCCAAACAATAATGGTTGAACTGTACAATATGTTCATAATAATGGATTGGAAAATGTATGGATGACTAAGGACCCTGCTCCCAAATCCTTACTTGACGTCGTTCAGTGTAACTGTAAAACCGGATGCAACAGTGGACGCTGTATTTGTTTTAAGGGTAAAGTTTCATGTACTGATTTGTGTAAATGTTTGACATGTAAAAATATACTCATTGTTGAAACCAATGAAATTGATATTGAGTTAGATGTCGATCAAAATATCTTTTGGGACTCTTACACCTTTTCCCTACATGAATGGGCTGTTAATTTGGCTCATCAAATCTCTGTTAGTTTCGTAAACGAGCAATTTGTAAAGTAAATCGTGCACATGGCTTTGTTTACAAATTCTATGGCACTTGACCCCATACCGTTTGACTGCATACCCCTCAAGCAGGACCAATGATTGGCCAAATTTAAAATCGCTGTTCAGGATCCAACTCACACCTATATGTATGCAAATATGGTTCCACACTATAAAGAAAAAAGTTATCAATTTCTGACCCGTTTACAAATTTTATTGGAAAACTTTGTTCACGTGATGATTCCACGATTATTGATTGTCCGATTTTATAGACCACTTTAGCAAGAGCAAGGATGACGAAATTTCAACCTGAGAATTCAGCCTATATATTTCTTTTTGTTTTTGTATACTTTCGATAGAAATGAAATGAAATGGGGTTTAACGTCCTACTGTTTTGCTCCTATAATGGGCTAATGAAGACGGGCATACGCCATACAGTGTGCTATGAGGGAAATTTTGCCCGGACAGCGGCACTATCGCCTACTCTTATATCGAATTCCAACTGCCAAGGGATCTTTTACGTGCATTCTAATGTATACACGGGACCTCGGTTTTTCGTTTCATCCGAAGGACTAGACAGCTGTCCTTGTCAGGCCCTCCGTTCTGCACCACTGACAAGGGGAAACCACGTCGGAAAATCCAGATGAACTTTCTCAGCCAATGCAGGGATCGAACACCCGACCTCCAGGCTAACGAGCCAGCGTCTTAACCACCCAGCCACCGTGGCTCCCACTTTCGATAGAAGGTCGCTGCAGGAGTCATACGAGCGACTTTTAACTCTATGATGTCATTCATTCAATTAACCAATCGGCGTTGGTGTTTCAGGTAGGTATTCAGAAATACATCTGCTTTGACTTGTCTTCCGTTGCTGCAAATGTCTACCCACAGTTCCGCTTGCCAGGTCATAAGAATTCAACCCAACGCACCATTTAATTGGCTAATCCCCAATCTGATTAAAATACAGATCTATATTTCATTTCGTTTTTTTATACACCCACATTGAAATGTGGTCGTCTATTGTTGTCGTCCACAATTGCTTGTGGACACTCTAGAGGCTAAAGTAAATATCCGATTGACTTTAAATTTATACACAGTGTTTAGGGTCATGAGACAAAGATGCCTATTGATTTTCAGCGATTTCCAATAATTACTGCCAGAATTATGGCCCTTGATCCCTTCAAAAAATCTTGTGGACGCTGTAGAGGTCAAAGTTAATATCCGATTGACTTTAAATTTTTACACAGTGTTTAAGGTCATGAGACGAAAAAGCCTATTAATTTTCAGCGATTTCCGATAATTACTGCCAGAGTTATGGCCCTTGATCAATTCAAAAAATCTTGTAGATGCTCTAGAGGTCCAAGTTAATATCCGATTTACTTTAAATTTATACACAGTGTTTAAGGTCATGAGACGAAGAAGCCTATTGATTTTCAGTGATTTCCGATAATTACTGCCAGAGTTATGGCCCTTGATCACCTCAAAAAATCTTGTGGACGCTTTAGAGGTCAAAGTTAACCAATTAACTTTAAATTTATACACAGACGAAGAAGCCTATTGATTTTCAGTGATTTCCGATAATTACTGCCAGAGTTATGGCCCTTGATCACTTTGAAAAATCTTATGGACGCTCTAGAGGCTAAAGTTAATATCCGATTGACTTTAAATTTATACACAGTGTTTAAGGTCATGAGACGAAGAAGCCGATTGATTTTCCGATAATTACTGACAAACTTATGGCCCCTTGATCACTTTGAAAAAACTTGTGACATTCTAGTGGCTAAAGTTATCTGTGATTGACTTCAGATTGATAATTACTTCATGAGTTATTACTCTTAATCAGATTTTAGTGTATTTTAAATGTTTCATTACCAAAAAAAGTAAAAATTATGCGACAACACTTGTTGACTGCCCGGATGATTTAGCTGCTGTGGGCGTATGTTTTGTTGCCTGGCAACCTATCTTTATACTTTTGATGGCCTACACTACATGAAGATCTGACTGGAAAGTCACCTTTGATGTCGTATGAGCAGCTTTTGACCCTATGATGTCAGACATTGATTAATCAATCAGCGTTGACGTTTCTAGTGGGTTAACCACAGTTCCGTGCATTGCACACCAAGAACATGCCATAACAGACTGTTTCATTGGCTAATCGCTCACATCAAGCAGAACAACTGTTATATAACTTTTCCAGATCCTAGTGTAGTAAAGACAAGTGAAACAAAATTTTGAACTATAAAAAAACAAAACGAAATAGGATCTGTGTTTTAATCAGATTAGCTAATCCCTCACATCAACCAGAATATGGGGTGTTGGATGGCCAAATGGTTAGCACGTGCGCGCTGTATCATAAAGCCTGTCATTGAGTCAACTGGCGTGGTTTCGAAACCCCAATTGTATGTGACAAGGAGTGGGGTCGCCTGTCCAACCTCGAGGGTTTTCTCCGGGTCCTCCGGTTTCCTCCCACTGCTAAAGACCCCTATGCGCAAGCGAATTATTGAAATAAAATTAAACCATACGTTTGTCCCAAAATGACCTAGTGTGTGTCAAGTGGACGTTAAACCCCATTTCTTTCTCTCTTCTCCCAACCTCGTGGGTTTTCTCCGGGTCCTCCGGTTTCCTCCCACTGCTAAACACCCCTACGCGCAAGTGAATTATGGAAATAAAATTGAACCATATGTTAGTCCCGAAATGACCTAGTTTGTGTCGAGTGGATGTTAAACCCCATTTCTCTCTCTCTCTCAACCAGAATGTGGGTTATTTAGTAACTCTTCCAGATTCTGTGTGTATTGAACTACAAGATTTTAAATTATTAAAAACGAAACAAGTTAGGATCTGTGTTTTAATCAGACTGAGTTATAAATGAATCTCAAATAATGTTTTTTATTATTATATCTATTTAACTGTTTCCATATAAATGGTTGCCGTTAGTTACAAGTTTGTCAAATAGTACATTTTTTGAAAAATTTATTTAATAAAATCAGGACACAGTAAGAACTAGCCATTTCTACCAAGTATAGTTTTAGGAACAAAAGTTTTATCTTTTAAACTATCAACTTCCGTAAAGTCTTTGGTTTCTTCAAAATCTTTTAATTTTCTTTCATCCCGTTCCTCTTGTATACTCTTGGTTTTCCATGGTGTATTTTTATCTTTTCGTATGATAGTTTCGAAATTATAACCTATCACTCCCACTACAGCAGCTACAGGCCACGTTATATAGACCGCATAAGTTCTCACAAACCCCATTATTACCGGCCACATTTTCACAGAATTGAAGTTAGCAGACAAAAACACAAAATATAACAATCCGAAACTATTATACACAACCTGAAAAAAAAAAACGAGAAAAATTATTAATTACATGTAAATATCAAAAATACAATATTAACTTTTCATCTTCAGCAAACCTAGAAGTTATACATGACATATTTATATTGAATTAAAGTTACTTATTTCTGCCATCATTTTGTTGATTCTTTCCTTGATAAAGACGAGAGAACCCTCATTGAAGCATGTCCAGAAATTATCTTTTAATAGGACTGTGTATTGCGGCCAGAAATTGTATCGCAATATACATGTATAGAGATACTTGACAAAAATTATTGCAGTATTGCAATACTTCGATAAAGTCGGGGTTTACCACAAAACACAGTTTTATTTTGAATAGTTTTATTGTTTTCACAATTTTGGTCTTGGACACTTATTGTTTACTGCAAAGCCTAAATGTATAATATGATTGATTATGTGAATAACATTTATCACTTTATATTTGTTTTTACAACTTTGGTTTTGGCTTAGCAGAAAAATTGTTTACTGCAAAGCCTTGTGGGTTTTCTCCGGTTTCCTCCCACTGCTGAAGACCCCTACGCTCAAGAGAATTATTGAAATAAAATTGAACCATGCATGGGTTAGTACTGAAATGATCTAGTTTCTTTACACCCTTTAATTAAGCCTATTATGGAATAATCTAATCCCGTTTGGAATTTAGTTCAAGAAATACTTTTTTTTGTGTCCTTCACAAAAACATATTGGTAACCAATATTGCTATTGGCTATCGATGTATTAATGACATGTACTGTACTGTAGCCTACTGTAGTTAATTTCATTACTGAGAAATATGGTTCCGAACGGGTGGGAGGTATTTCCCAGAAAATTTCCAAATGTTTTATGGGTTGCAATGTGAGCGATGTGATTTAGCTGAGGACACTCAAAAAAACAATGAAATAAAATAATCTCCTGAACAAAATTCCAAATGGATTAAGGAATAATCTAATTCATTGACCTTCAAATATCATTCAATAAATAGTAATAGCATTATCATAATGTAGTAAGCTACCAATCAGAAGATACAGGCATTTGTATTGTTAGCATACACAGTGATTTCGGTGAATATTTAACTTGATAAACTTACTTAATGATAATGACGGTAAGGATTTAGTTGTAATAAGAATCGTAATCAAGTGATTTGTCAACGGCCTCCGGTCGAATTATCGTGTACGAGAGCTTATGACGATTTGCATAAGCGAACCCGGCTTTCTTGTGTACGTATACAACTGCTCCGAAACCCACACAGGACATAGCAGTAAGTACGCCAGTTAACATAAGTTCAGGGACTTCATGCCATCCCTGTTTCCACATAGACAAGCCCTTCACTGCTGCTACTCTTGCGGACATTTTACTAGCCCCGATTGTCACACTACTAATTCCATAGGTTCAAATATTCAATCAGGGGAGATAACTTCGATTACGTCACCTAGAATAACGGGATTGGAATATGTTGAAAATAATAAAGTTATATTCGACTTGGCATATGTATAGGTGTACCTATTAGTTGTGAGTATACTTTACTTGAAATTTCTTAAGAAATGAGGTGTAACCATTCCACGCAAATGATTTAATTTTATTTCAGTCGATCAGTACGTCTGTATAATCAAGACTGTATGTTATATCAATTTACGGATATTCTCAAGAACTAGAAACCACTTTTGCAGGTGGATCTTGGCAATTCATGAGAAATTATGAATCAAATCAGCGTGTTTGATTCCATTTGCAGAATACTGAAATTTTGTGTTTTTACTAATTAGAAAACTTTGTCCCTATATTAATGAGTGAAACTAAAATGATTCATAGTCCATTTTTAATCCGCAAGATAACATATCATGTCACATGACTGTCACGTGCCAGGTTGAAGTTGATAATCAACAGAGACAGTGACTGGAAGGATATGTCAGGTTGATATGATTGCATGAAGTGGTGTAGATTCAGTCGGAAATGGTGTAAACATCTGGAACGTGAAATGAAATACACAGGATGATGTCCTTGTCAAGCTTAATTTACTTTAGAAATTGTGATAATATAGATTTAAAGCAGTGAAAACATCGCACCTTATTAAAAAATAAAAACAATCGTAAACGAAACAGCCTATTTACTGATTAAAGATCTAACGTTGAGGTACTGTAAGTGTAACATCAATTTAAATCAAGTTATCGTGACAATGCCATTTCATTATTATGAATGAATGATTTGATTATAAATTGATGACTGTTCTTCTCCAGCATACATTTAATATTTATTATCAATTCAATTATCAATTCCATTAATTCAAATTAAAAAAAGGAATTAGTTTATTAAATAACAATATAATTAGCTGGTTCAAATCCTGTTCAAAGAAAATGGCAGCTGTCGTGTAAAGCCAACACATCTGTAGGAAAATCAATGAGCTTTAAATTAATAAATCTATTTACATGAAAGTGATGAATTTAATTACGTATCAGCATTAAGGTGTCACCTTATTATAGGCCTACAGTGCACGGTGGGAGTTACATGTAGTGATTGAGTTGATTGACATGCAGATCAGGATCAAAGTTCCTGTGTATAGATTTAGCATTTATAGAATTTTTGTTTTATTGAATTGTACAGATTTGTTATCAAGAAAGTAATAACCTAGTCGTCAATTTAGACATAAGAATTTTAGTTAAGTCAGTTATTTTTTAGTGTCCGCAGTTGTGTTAGAATTTTGAGAAAATGGAAGATCAATCAAATTCGGATGGAAACATGAATGTGTCACAAAGTTCTTCATCAAGCATTAATTCTCTGGATCAGATTTATCCATCTTTGGAACCGTTTACTCATCCGATTGATACCGATGACGATGATGACAATAATTCTCAAACCAGCAGTGGGGGAACGAAATCCTCTCTGCCTCCATCCCCGAGTCACAAGAAATATCTTTTTCCCAAGAAAGAATACGTTGATCATCTTCGTCCAGAAGAAATTAATTGGTTTTACCAACAAGAGGGTGAGAAAAAATGGACTCCATTCATTGGTTACGATTCTTTGAGGATAGAGTGTCGATATCGAGCGCTGGCTATTAATTCATCCGATGTGAGTAAAGATATAGACGTAAAGGAGAGAATTTTAGTGCGTGGTGGATTGTATGAAGTGGATGTCGACAGTAAACAATGCATACCTGTATATTGGTCAGGTGAGCAAATTTTATCATTTGATATCACAGTCGTTGTTGTTTGTATTTTAGAGGAGAGCCGAAAAAACTCCCCTTAATCAACAAATTGAAAAAATCGCTCCCCTTAAAAAGCTCTCCCAGTTTCGATAAGAAGAGTGATTTAGAAATGAAGGAGAGTGATCTGATATTAAGGAGAAAGATTAGTTGTGTGTATGGGAAATGGTTCTGAAGATCAATAACTGCATGTTAGGGGGTCATTCCTGCATTCATAAATGATAATAAACCCCCTATGACTTTGTAAAGGAGAGTGATTTTCGATTTTAAGGAGAGGGAAAGAACCTCCCATCGGTCAACATTCAGGTGAGCGGAGGCGCTCGAGAGCGATCGCTCGCCTTAAAAAACAATGACTGATATCATGGCCGAATGGTCCGTGGTTTTTAACGGCACACTAAGAAAATGCAAAAAAAAAACGTGTGATCCCAATTGAGTATTCACTGGTGTCTACTGGTAAGTTCATAGCTTGAGTCATTCTATGTGTCTATGACTAGACTGTGTCTATGGTTGTATGCTGTGTATGGCCGAATGGTCTAACCCAGTGGTTTTTAATGGCACGCTAAGAAAATGCAAAAAAAAACCGTGTGATCCCAATTGAGTATTCAATGGTTTCTACTGGTAACTTCATAGCTTGAGTCATTTTAAGAAAATGCCAGTTTGATTAAAATACAGGTCTATATTTCGTTTCGTTTGTTTTTTATATTTTCGAATGCCTACACTACCTGAAGATCCGACCAGTTGTAGTGGGAGGTCGCGTTAGAGGTTGCACATGCGACTTTTGACCCTATGACGTCAGACATTGATTAATCAATCAGCGTTGATGTTTCTAGTGGTTTATCCAGTTTCGAGCATTGCACGCAAAATGCCACCATCCAGAACGCAGGTTATATAACAACTCTTCCAGATCCTAGTGTAGTACAGACAAAACGAAATTTTGAACTGTAAAAAAACGAAATGAAGATGTGTTTTAATCAGATTGAGAAAATGCAAAAAAAACATGATCCTAATTGAGTATTCACTGGTGTCTACCAATAAGTTCATAGCTGTGTGTTTTTCTTTATTTAGTTTGAATCATTCTACATGTATGTGTCTATGACTACTGTCTGAACAGTGGTAAATTATAAACGGATTTCTTAGATTGTGAACAAACTACTGAATAAATGTTATTAAAAACTTGCCTATGTGTTTGAAATCACTTCCCTTTGAATAAAATCCATGGAACAATTAAATATCCTAACGAAAAAAATAGTTCTCTCTTGAAAAGTCAATGTTTTTGCTTGTATTTTCGACAGTCTCCATCACAACATTGCACATGTCACGTGGTGAGCTAATCCGTCGTAATATTTTGAAGGGGGGTAAAGATTGACAAATTTTAACAATCACATGTGCTGCTATCAAAACAGCACACAACCTTTTCGAATGTTTAAGTTTGGGCAACAAGATTAGGAACTCAAGACAATAATATTAATTCGGAAACAATTAATTGATTGTCAGTCTACTAAATTTTATTCACAATGAATATATCACTGATTACACGTATACTCGTAAATATTGCTTTCACATAATCATCGACCCATAATTGTAAATACCCTGTATCCTGTATATTACATGTATATTTTCATAAACTATATTAAATCCCTGCATGCCAATTATTATAGGCAACATTGTGGCTAACATTTACAAATAAACACACTCTATTTCATAATTTTAATTGATCATATTTCATAACAGGGTTTAATCCTAATGCTCTGTGGTTATTAGTCCATTTCCGGGGGTTGGATGGCTGAATGGTTAGCGTGCGCGCGCTGTATCATAAAGTCTGTCATTGAGTCGACTGGCGTGGTTTCGAATCCCCGGTTGTACGTGGCAAGGAGTAGGGTCGCCTGTCCAACCTCATGGGTTTTCTCTGGGTCCTCCGGTTTCCTCCCACTACTAAAGACCCCTACGCGCAAGTGAATTATGTAAATAAAATTAAAAACCATATGTTAGTCCCGAAATGACCTAGTTTGTGTCGAGTGGATGTTAAACCCCATTTCTCTCTCTCTTTTTATTAGTCTATTTATAAAATTTTATGATTACCCGGGAAAACAAAAACAAAAAAGGTCACCGCTTGTTAATAATTTCCATATTTAATTCACGTTCCGAATGTTCATGTCAATAATATTCCTGATTAAATTACTCTTTTTTGTTTATTCGACAGATACTGAAATCGAAACATTCTTGAAAAGAACAGTTCGGGGTGTCTAAATATCGTTTGTCGTCTTTATAAAAATGTATTTAAAACAAAAGAAAGGCATCGCAGATTGCGTGTATTATTGTGTGTTAATTATGCAGACCGTGGGAAAAACTTGTGAAAGTTTCATGCCAAATTTAACCATTTTCACTGCATCTGTGTAGCATACAATAACTCATATGGCATGGTACCTTTTACGGTAATAGAATTCAAAGCGTTGATTGGCTGAGGCATGATCGCGATCTACAAAATGCCATCAGGAAATAGTAAAGATATTTAAGGGTGAGATTCAAGACCCGTAAAACGAATGTCGTTCTTCTTTTTACTGCACCTGTGTTCAAAAGAAATAATCCCACCCAACTCTCTAACCAAATAATTAATACAAGAAGAAAACAAAATAACGGACTACGGGCGTATTTATGGTTGTAAACGCCCAAACTCATGGGTCCGAGAGCAATAGTGTATTCATACACAAATTTGGATTGGCGGAAAAGAGCCAAATACCGTTACGATATAAACAAGTCTTGCTGCGACCCCCTTGTACGAAATGATCTATCCCGATAAGTGACGTAATTAGCTTCCATGTTTGTATTTCTCGATGTCCAAGTGTGTGATGAGTTCAATTTTACAAGAGAGAACCTTTTTATTTGCTAGGATATTTAGTTGTGCAATGGATTTTATTTAACGGGAGTTGATTTCAAACACACAGGTAAGTTTATAATAACCAAAGTTAAGTAGTTTGTTCATAATCGAAGAAATTCGTTTATAAGATCGGAAGGTTCATACAGTAGTCTGTGTCTATGGTTGTATGCTGTCTATGATTTGCCATGGGTTTTTTTTGCAAAATTCAAATATTTTTCATATATATTTAGCCAGGTGTGCTGCTATTTTTTCATGTGTTTCAAGGTGTGCCTTTGGCAAAAAAAATGTTGAGAACAACTGGTCTAATGCATGCACTTTAGCATTCTGCACACAGCGGACTATCTACTTCGAGAATAGATCTCTGCCCTGAATGGCGGCCATATCTAAAAATTAAAATGCTATTTTTTATGTGGTTCTAAATAAACCTTTTCTATTTTATTAAATGGAAACAAAATAAATACTTCTCAAAATTGCGAATTATACTTAGGAATTAAAATGTCTGTCAAGTAGCTAAGTGTCTGTTCTCTAGTTGCAGAGAGACAGCATAAGTTTAGTATACCACTTTATATCATTATGTCTGTCATTCGATCCCACTCTTAGTGAAAATAAGAGGCTTGAAAATATTAATAATATTGGATGAGTTGTCAAACACTACATGTACATGGCTTCATTTTGATAGAAAGTGCAAGTGTGATAAAAATAACTTGGGCTAAACTTTTCGAGAGTAATTTCAAACACACTCGCAAAAAAATTGCAAGAGCTATTAAGTCATAACCAATCTAATTAATACACAGATCCTATTGTATATCATGAGGTCTGTCTGTCATTGAGTCAACTGGCATGGTTTCAATTCCCGGATTGTATGTGACAAGGGAGTAGGGTCGCCTGTTCAACCTCTCTGGGTTCTCCCGTTTCCTCCCACTGCTAAAGACCCTTACGTGCAAGCGAATTATTGAAATAAAATTAAACCATATGTTAGTCCAAATGACCTATTTTGTGTTGAGTGGACGTTCAACCCCATCTCTCTCTCTCTCTTTCTATAACTATATGTAGTATACACAGTTACACAGTGATGTGTCAGTGTTTCTCAACAATAAAATAAATATACTGAAATAATGGGGAGCTTTTTTTCAACTGTAATGCTAAACAAACATACTCTCTTACATCAAGATTCTTAGACAATTATCCAGAAATTATCTGTTCCAGTATCTTCCAAAGCATAATAATAAGATTTATTTTCTAGAGTGCTGAACATTCAGTCAGTTTGACTGTTTTTGTGGCGCTTAAGAAAGGATATTATACATGTAACATAGATAAAAAGCACACTTAAAACAAAATTAACAGATCACAAATTTGATGAGTTCCATACACAAAATATAACATAAATTTAATTTTGATTAGTACATGTAGTTCTAAAATATTCTATTTTTTTAAGCGTTCCTTGAAGGTTAGGATGTTGACGATTGAGTCGTTGTTGTTGTGTTTTTAAATTGAATTTAAGATTATTTTTAGAACCTCCGTAGACATGAAATTAATTAAATTCAATGCTTCTTTTGAACATGACTCACAGTGTAACCTTCAAGACAGCATTAAAGTCTGTTAAGGTAACATAAATTTAATTTTGATTAGTAGTTCTAAAATATTCTATTTTTTTAAGCTTTCCTTGAAGGTTAGGATGTTGACGATTGAGTCGTTGTTGTTGTGTTTTTAAATTGAATTTAAGATTATTTTTAGAACCTCCGAAGACATGAAATTAATTAAATTCAATGCTTCTTTTGAACATGACTCACAGTGTAACCTTCAAGACAGCATTAAAGTCTGTTAAGGTAACATTTGTACAACATGTATGTATGTATTTGTTTGTGCAAAACGCATTATTGATTTTTGATTTAAACTTCGTTCTGATGTGAAATGACATGAGAAACACGTAATAAGCCGTCGTCTCCACCTGCAAGTATGATTTCTAACAACAAGTCGGACAATCTTTATTCATTAAAAAACACATTAAGTCAGATACATGTAATCTGTTTTTAAAAAACACAACACAATTTATATGGAATACAATCACTGGTTTATACACATGTAGTAGTGA